TAGCTCGACCTCGTTTCTGGAGGTCAGCTACTCTTCAGCAGAGTTTAGCTCCAGCTCACTCCTGGAAATTCTACTCCACTATCAACGTATTCTGATTTGAATGAACAGTGCTGGCCTCCACCTCCCCCACACAGGGCCCAGATAAGGAAGCCAGATGAGTAGATAGCTGACACCCGTCACATTTCCTGCCCTTTGAAGACGCTGCGTCTTTGTCCTGAGGTGTGTTTAAAGACGTGTACTGTCGGTTTAGTCACTCTGTGTGAGTGGCCCTCGTGCACATGCATGAGAAAAAAGCACATGCTGCAAAACGGCTCCTCGCATGCAGCGTCTTTCTGCGGCGCGCATGCAGACAGAGCGACATTAGCAGTGCTGCGAATGCAGATTAACTCCAGAGGTGAGAATTTAACGCTGGTTGTCTCACAGCAGGGATGGAAAAACATCTCCAGCCTTGTGACATATGCACACAGCACTATAAACATACGAGCACAGCACGCCCAGGGCTCTCGCACACGGACGAGAGAGAGAGAGAGAGAGAGAGAGAGAGCGCACATCTGTGTAGGTGACAGGGTGTAGGCGGTTTGCGTGGGATGGGATGCCTGACTCACCCTGATAGGCTCAGAGTATTAGAAGAATCTTAGAGGCCCTCTCTCTCTCTATCTCTCTACCACTCTCTCTCTCTCTCTCTCTCTCTCTCTCTCTCTCTCAATCTCTATCTCTCTCTCTCAATCTCTATCTCTCTCTCTCAATCTCTATCTCGCTCTCTCTCAATCTCTATCTCTCTCTCTCTCTCTCTCTCAATCTCTATCTCTCTCTTTCTTTCTCTATCTATCTCTCTCCCTCTCTCTCTCTCTCTCTCTCTCTCTCTCTCTCTCTCTCTCTCTCTCTGATTTTTTCTCTATGTTACTCTCTCCTTTCCCCTCTTTCTATGTCGTTTGGTCATGTTCAGGATTGCGGCTACTCCTGTCAAAAATCACACACACACACACACATCTTCTAAACCGCTTATCCTTCTGGGTCGCGGGGGGAGCTGGAGCCTATCCCAGCTGCCATTGAGCAGAAATCATAATAAATATTTTTTTAATAATCAGACTGTCACGTTATAATAAAGATGCAAAGGAAGTGTGGCTTTCTTTATTGCCCCAACCTGATCCTCTAACCCTCCTATTTCTTAGAGACAAAGGGGAATTACACCAACTTTTCCAAAATTCCTGCACAGTTCAGTGTTTGAGATGTAAAGAGTGATTTGGTGTGAAATGGTTCAGATTTCTTTACAGTGGTGGTGATAGGAACCAGGGGTCACCATGACTACAACACAAATATAGACATTTTATTTACTATCCAGAACCACCAGTGAACCTATACATGTGATTATATGTAATTATGATGATGGTCAACGTTTAAACTGGTTTTTTAGAGTATTTCGCATCATCAGTGACATCATCATCTGAATAAGCTGAATGATGCAGACATTTTGAGTTCCTCTTTAATGCTGACATTTTTTCCATGTCGTAAGTGGACTGCAGGAAAAAAAAAAATAAAATAAAATATAGGTTATGGGCCCTTTAAGGAAATGAGGTTGTGACGCGCAGGGCCAGCTCGTAGCTTGTAAACGCTGTGGCCGTGTGTTCAGGCGGGGACTTTCGGTCGTGTTGGTAATTCATGTGGTTCAGCATGTGACCACAAAAACATGACCAGAGCGTCACATACATCTGAAAGCTACACCCACCGATGTAGGTTAGTGTGTGCAGCCGTTGGCCACTGTCAGTTAGCGATCCTGCCACACTGTTTTTGTGGTTGAGCATCTCTGGACGTGTTACGTTTTCCTGTAATAACCATCATGCCTTCCTATTAAACCATACAGTCATCTTAAACCTGCTGAGACCATTTCAGGAAATTACACAGAAATTGCACAGACTGCAGCATTTACACTTCTTTAGCGTTTGTCCACCGCTCTGCCTGAGCTCTTCTACAGGTCTCCAGACGTCTGATTAGCTAAAGGGCTCATACACTACGTTATTCCCATTCATGACAATTGCATGCTTTTGTGTACCAAAAAAAAACAGTTATAACATATTTTCACACTTTTTACATGAGCATATTCATGTCCTCTGTCTTTAAAGGGCCCATATCGTGTAAAACAATGGCTACTTTTCCATTATCGAGCCAAATGGTTCTCAAGGCCATACTGGGTTGTTCCGCGTTGGTCCGAACTCTTGAGACCAGTTATGGTTTCTTTTTCCATAAGTTGTGCTGCTAAATCAGAACCAGGAAATACTGAGGAAAACTACACAAACGAGTGGCTAACTGCTAACAAGCTAATAGCTACTACCCATAGATATAAATACATGCATTCCGTCTGTCACTCCAACTCCGGTCTCTCTCAGCGAGCTCTCGTCTTCTTTGTCCTCTAAACGGGTGTTATTTGAGTATCTCTTAGTGAACCAGCCTGTCCTGCAGTGGCTTTCCCCTGTAGCTGGAAAACTGGCCACATTAGCATTAGCGTCGCCTGGCAGGGTAAAACTCGAAGCACCACAGAACAGTTCTATTTTTCATCTTTCTGTCACTTTAAAGCCAGACATTCGAATTTGTGCTCTCGAATACGAGTCTTTATCCTCTAAATGAGGGTTTTTAATCATCGGTTCGCTAGAACTGAGCCCGTACTGCAGTGGGAGGCACTGTGTGCTTGTGTTAGCTTAGCCTAGCAAGTTACAGCTTAAACGACTACAGAACCTGTTTGATTTCTGCTTTCCGTCACTCAACCGCCAATTGGTTGACTTTGCTTTCGCTGGTATACGTTTTTTATCATCTATATTTGTGATAGCAGAGCAGAGGTTAGTTGAATTAAACCCTTACTGCAGTGATTGGATCTGTTCAGCTAAGCTAAGTTAGCTAGGAGAGAGGAGCTGGCTGGCATTAGCTTAGCTAGGAGGCTCCAGCTCCAGAGAACAGGTTCAATTTCGTCTTTCTGCTCCTCTGACATCAGCTGCTCGACTTCGCTTCCTCAGATTTGAGTCATTATCATCTAAATTTGTGTCAGTGAAGCTTCTGTTATTCAGAATCGAACCTGTTCTGTGGTGAGCAGAGCTGGCAGCATGTTAGGTAAGCAAACGCTAACCAGCTACTCTCTCCTGATTATCAGCACCATTTAATATATAGAAATTGGTGTTAGATTGAAGGGCGTTTACTGAATTGGCCGTCCATGTGAACAAACTGAACTTGATTGATTGTTTTCAGGTTTGAAATAGCGCAGCAGGATGCTGTGGCACAATATCGGTGTAAACATGGAACCGTGTGGAAACACCACTGGAACGTTACCCTCCGTGTTCAGAACCGTTCGACCCATCAGTGGAAAAGAGGCCTTTGTGTACATACTACATTGTGTATTTTCCCTACTTTGTTGTTTTTGTGATAACATTAAAAAACCAACATGTGTACATACACAGCAGTTTAGCTCCGCCCACTCACACTGAAGTTATAAGGAGCGTTAGAGCTCATTTACATATTTCAGTCTTAAAAGCGCCTGCCAGTTTCATTCGGAGAGGTAAAGAGGGGAATTAATTATGACTGTTTTTGGCACATGTGATCTCACAAATGTCATAAGTGGAGAAAAACGTAGCATGTGGGCTCTTTAAGACTGAGCCCTGTTCTGATTGGCTGTGCCACCTCCAGTGGGTGGAGCTTAACTGCTGTAGCCTGAATAGGTGGATGTATGTAAATGCATGACATCACAAAAACCGTGAATTTTAAGCTGTTTTTCCTTATTTGGACTGCGGAGTGAACATGTTTTGAAACGTGAACCGTCTTTATATAATTTGAATCAAATTCTTACAAAACAGAAAAGAGGTAACATTCTCTATGATATGGGCCCTTTAATCCAGCCACTCGTACAATCTCTGTAGAAAAGCTGACCAATAGAACGCTGGAGCGGCTGCACGTGAGCCTAAGGTCACCATGCCCAATGCCAAGCGTGAGCTAGAGGGGTATAAAGACCCCCAGCACTGGGGTGGAACTGAGTTCTCTGGAGTGATGTTCTTCCACACATTTTGATCACAACTACTGTTTATTTGAAGTTTAAAGAAACATCAAAAGACATCAGATGTGGTCTGTGCAGAAGTTATGGCACGTTTTATATTTTTTAAAAGTGTTCAACTCAACTTAATTACACTTCAGCAAAATCAACAAATGTCATTAGTCAACCAAAAACGGGCCTGTATAATGTAAAACCACATTTTTTTCCTGCTTGCTGTTTCTTTTTTTTGGAATAATATGAGTTGAATGTTAAAATTTCAAAACATACTATTCACTCCGTAGGCCAGGCTTATCAAACTGGGGACCTTCTGGGCCAAAGCGCTGCGGAGATCAGCGTTTACCCTCATCTAACGCTCTGAATTCAGTTCATGAAGGCCTCGCTAAGTAGCTGATGAGCTGAATCAGGTGCGTTTAATGAAGGAGTCTGCAGAGTTGTGACCTGCGAGGACTGGAACCCGACACGTCTCCTAGTCTCCGCAGGCCATATGTGGAAACTAAGCTGCAAAAAGTGCCTGTTTTGAAGTTTTGTGATGTCACAAATGTCAGGGGATGTCGGCAGTGTTAAAAATTTTTTGCTGTGTTATATTAAATTATATACTTTTTTTTCTTATGTTTTCATTCTATATTCTTCACTTCAAATGTTTACGTGTTTTAAAAAATTAAAACAATTTTTCTAATTTTTTTTTTTTTAAGAATTTTTTATTTACTTATTTATTTTTAAAAATTGACTACAGGATATAAATTAAACCTAGTTTTACTTAAGCTTAATTTTGAGGGTTTTTTTTTATGTGACAGTGTTCCCCTTAAAGGCTTTACATGTTTAATTTAACGGTGATCCTGATTGAGCACTGGGCCCCTCCTCGCCTCGCCTCGCCTCACGCTCTGGGCTGCCTCCCACGCGGGGATTTGCGTCAGGCAGTCGCGTGGGAGTGACGAGAGCGAAGCAGCAACCGAACGGAATATCCCTCACACACACACATACACACACACGCACGCAGACAGGCAGTGAGTGAAGCTGCAGGAGCTCGCGGGGGGACACTACACACACACACACACTGAGATACAGCCTAACGGAGGAGCGAGGAGCGAGCGCGAGCAGGTCAGAGAAAAGATAAACACACTATGGTCATTTGGGGGGCTTTAGGGGACGGGGGGTCGGGGGGACGGCGGGGTGCGCGCTGTTGCTTCTGTATGTGTGTAGTTCTGGGGGGCGTGTGCACTTCAGCACGCGCTCCGCTACTACGGTGTGTGTAGTTGTTTAGTTTGTTTGCTTGTTTGTTCAGATATTTGGTTTGTTTGGAGGGGTTTGTGTATCGTATTGCTTATTGTGTAAGAAACCCGAAACCAGAGGTGACCAGAACGCTGAATACTTAGAGGGCAAGTCCACCAATTACTCAAAATTTCTGCAAAATAAAATGGCTGAAATGTAAACAGAGTGGTTCAGAGTGGTTTAGTGTGAAACGCTCTGTCTAGATAAACTTACAGAGTCAGAGCCGTTCACAGTGGTGGTGATAGGAACCAGACGTCCACCTCTAAAAGCTCCCTCACAGAAAGTTACTACATGAGATGGTTATTAATTCACTGTCTGATGACTGAGACACTGTTTTATGATAGTTTAGAGAAGATTTCAGCCTTAAACTCCATTCATGGTGGAGGGATACATGCAGGGCGCTGTGAGGCAAAATAGTCCCCAAAGTTATTATTTCTTCAAACTTATTATTTCAGATTTTCCACTATTTTCCTTCATCAACATTCCATATAAACTCAGAAGACTCGTGTCGGTTCACTGGTGGTTCTGGATAGTAAATAAAATGTCTGTATATGTGTTGTAGTCATGGCGACCCCTGGTTTCTGCTTTCTGAGATGCTCATCTCAGTAGGGTATGAGATGTGTTGCAAACATTAAGGGGCTCTTCACTCTGAATGATGCTGAAATTTTGAAAAATCGGTGGAGTATCCCTTTAAGTATTTTAATGGATTTATAAATGCTAATACTTTCAGCACTACTTAAGTGGCTCCACCAACACTCTACAGTGTGGTTTCTAATAAAGTAAACCTCTCTCTCTCTCTCTCTCTCTCTCTCTCTCTCTCTCTCTCTCTCTCTCTCTCTAGCCATGTCGGTCTTGTTGCCCCGCTCTGTTGGGGAGCTGCAGCTGTACCGCGTCCTGCAGAGGGCCAACCTGCTGTGCTACTACGCCACTTTCGTCCAGCAGGGCGGTGACGACGTCCAGCAGCTATGCGAAGCCGCCGAGGACGAATTCCTTGAGATCATGGCTCTGGTCGGCATGGCGACCAAGCCGCTGCACGTGCGGCGCCTGCAGAAGGCCCTGCGAGATTGGGTCACTAACCCCTCCCTGTTTGACCAGCCTCTGACATCACTTCCTGCCTGCAGTATACCGGTGTACAAGCTTCAAGAAGGTACGGGAGGGCGATACGAAGTCAAACCGATATCATGATATTTTCCACCAGTGGACAGTTACGTTATGATGTAACGATGCCTGTACACTGTATACGAAAAAAACCTTTTTTGTCCATTTTGATCGTTTTTTTGAAAAGTCTGGTTATTCTTTGCATGAATAGAAATAGTCCAAAATTATTCAGAAAACAGACGTGTTACATCAATCTCCATTCAGGAATGGACAATATGACGATATTGTATCGTTATCATTATCACTACTATGATAACAATGAAATATTCAAAGCATATTGTGGCATAATTTATTATGACTTTTGTTCTTTTATAAGTCTTGTTACATTAACTTTCATTTAGGAGTGGACAATATGACGATATTTTATCATTATCATTATTATAATAACGATAAAATAGCATTATAATAAATTATGCTTCAATTATATTATGATCATGATATTTTATTATCATCGTCATAAATTATACCACAATACGCTTTTCTGAAAATATCGTGAATATCGTCAGTAATGAAACAACATTGACCAACTACATGTTTCATTACAAAGTGAGCATAATCTGTCAAGTTTAATTGGATTTAGTGCAGTGAAGTTTGTAAAACAATAAACAATCATTGTAGTTGCAGCTTTATTAATATTATCATTATTATTATGATTTTTATTTTTATGATTATTATGGTTTTTATATGTGGCACTACAGGTTCTGTTTTGTCTGTTCCAGCTTATTACATCTCAAAAGACTAAATATCTTGATGCAGATTGTATATCATGAAAACGTCTTAAAGTATTGTGATATTACATTTTTGCCATATTGCCCTCCTCAACTTCCATTACAGGCTAAGAGTGTTTTTGCTTCTCCTCTAAAGCTCCAATTTTGGAGATACAAGGTTTTGTTCCGTCTGCAACAATATGTTATATTGAATTATATAATAATATTATGCTTTTGACAGTGGCGAACCATTACTATTAGAGCTAGGCTCTCATTTCAAGCCATAAAAGTCAAAACTCGGTCAAAACATGAGGAAAAACCCACCTCTACAATAATACTCACTTCTGCTAGCACCCCTATGGGACTCTAGTAGTTTGCTAAACTAACAGTGATTTGCGTTTTGGTGGTTCTAGATTAAACACAGATTTCTAAAGCGTCTTAAAGACATTCTATATTTTACTTGAAGCTTCTGACAGACACATTAGTGTATATTTTACCTTGTAGCAGTTTCACAGTGACTCCGTAGACTCTCAAAGTTACACAACCCGGACCAACATCATATAATGTTTTCACTTTTGTCCTTATACCTGCGAAGGTTCACCGACTGTCCGCAGCGCAGGACAAAAGACGCAACCCACAGAAACCAGGGCCTGGAGTCTGAGCCCCTGTGGCGCAGGGGGTGGGGCAGCTACCCCTGGCTCCTCCCCTCGGCCAGGGTCCGAAAGCCCCTCTCCCACCTCCGCCTGCTCCCCCTGCTGGAGCGGAGAGCCGCCTGAGACACTGGAGCCGGCCGTCCTGCGCTGCGTGTCCGAGTGCGTGCGAAGGCTGGCCCCCACGCTTCCCAAGAGCGACCCTGCGGAGGTGAAGGGGCGTCTCCGTGGCAACAAGAAGCTGAGCCGGACGATCAGCCTCCTCTGCGAGCTGAGCGAAGACGACCCGCGGAGGGAGGAGGAGATCCGCAAGTACAGCGCCATCTACGGGCGCTTCGACTCCAAGAGACGGGACGGCAGGCTGCTCACCACTCACGAGGTGACATGTTTATGTGAATGAGCTTTTTAAAAAAAACACTCCTGTCACATCCTGTGGTTAACAAAGTGGTTATAAGCTTAATACATTTAGTCCACTTTTTTCACTGAATGTCACTGGATCCTCTGAATTACAAGGTTGCAAAGGAGCCGAAATATAAACGTTGCTTCCAAGCTAACACTCCTGCGCACTGAAATGACCTGAAATTAAGTCTACTGTCACGCTTCAACACTATTATACACGGAGATTCACTCGAAAGAGGCCCCAAATATTCTGTAATAACTCTCGCTAGAACGAAGCAATCTGAATGAAATTAAGTGCAAAGTGCTCCTCAGTATATGAAGCTTCGAACAAACCAGGAAGTAGGAAAACATCCAACGTGAAATTGCTGCTATTCCCCCTGATATGCTTGCTGACACGTTCACTTCCAGCATCGCATGTAATGCAATCAGTTATACATATGTCATGGTCTGTAGTGTATTTGTTTGGTTCAGATTGCTTCATCCTAACGGGAGTTACAACAGAATATTCAGGGCCTCTTTCCAGTGAATCTCCCTGTATAACAACACCGACTACTCCTAATGTACTCTGAAAGCAACTGAACTACCACACTGGACAAAGCTAGCTGGTTTGTTTGGGGTATTGTGGTGTCCACCACACGCTCTGCATTTCAAGAGGAGCTCAAGGAACGTGGCTGCAAAGCTTGGCCTGCCTGTGGCTCCCTCTTCAGTTCAAAGGACATTAGTTGGTGTTGTTGTGGTTAATATTGTTGATTGTTAGTTTAGGGTGTGTTTATGTGTTTATTGTATGTTAATTATTTTTACCCCTACCCCTTGTTTTCGAGGGTCATCTTGCCCCTGTGGAACTGAGTTACAGAGGTTAGTGGTTGAAATCTCCCTCTGAAATGGGACCCTCAAATAAAAAGAGCATCACTTCATTAACAGCTACTGGCGCTGCTCTGTAGGCGACCCTGCCAGTCTGCAGTGACAGCAGAGGAGGGTAAAGTTCAGCTCCTCACTGCTGGGCTTTAGTTACATTTAGGGCGTCATATGACTTCAAAGAGGGGGGCAATTATTTATTATCACCCACCCCTAATTCTTCAGTGATACGAAGCTGAAGTCAGATATTCTCCAGCTTCTCGTTAGAAATTTCCCGAACGGGAAATTTAGCTAGCTACCGAGACATCAGCACTACTAGCGATTTTTTTCTGCTTGTTATATAGAAAAGGACCGTAATACACTGAAACAACATTTAACTAAGATACAATGGTAATCATAATTTTTAAACAGAGAAAATTCTCACATTTGTGGGTTCTGTTTTTTCTCATAACTCTCTGTTTGGAGTCTCTGAAAAACCTCCGTTTGGAGGGTCATGTAGCCCCAACACTTCGCTCTACCCCTCTATCTCTACAAAAATCGGCACACCCTACACCTAGACGTGAACGCGCCAAACAGAGGGTTAGGGCTCAGTGGTAGGGGCGAGGGGTGAAACGGGATTGGGCCTTATGTGTGGGTTTAGCGTTCACCGTAAGTAGATGTAAGGCTACAAGTGACCTTTTGCTCTTCTCACTATTATTCAGTGGCCTTTTCTGCTTTGTTCAATAAAAGAGCATTTCCCTTAAGCAGAATGGCAAATGGCATTCCCTGGTCCTTCTACTGAGCCGATACCACAGTATTCTTGTGCGCTTGCCTGTCTTATGATGTCTGTTCAGTGCGCAGCAGTGTTAGCTCACGGGTAGCAAAACTCATATTTCGGCTTCTCAATGACCTCGTAATTCAGAGCATCCGGTGAAATTCAGTGGAAAAATGTATGTAGGAAAACATATATCAAAGACCATCTGTTAACCTCGGGGGGTGAAAACGCCATTCATTTTTTCCATAGAGAAATCTAGCTTTGTTGCTAATATGGGCATGATGCTGACCACCGACTGACCACACAACTCCAGCAATCTATTTAGCCCTGAACTCTTGTGGTTTTATGTTTTTATATGAGGCAGCTCAGGATTTTGATTCAGCCAAAAATTAAATGTACACAGTTTCCCTTCTTACTCCCAAATGTAGTCAATAAGCCAAGATGTGTTTGCCTCTTCAGATTTGCAGTGGAGCTAATGTAGCTAATGAAGCAAACGTAGCCGCACCAGGTACCTTTGTGTAAACTACATGCTAATTCATCGCACACTCTCCTCAAACCGTGTGGAGGTGTTCAGTAATCTCTAATAGATGTGATTATGTGGTTTCTGTATACAGTCAGCTGTAAACATGGACTGAAGTGTGGCTTTTAAAGGCTGCTAATGTTTTTAGCTGTGCAACAAGCCTAAAAGTAAGTATGATGGTGTTGAGTTGTGTTAGCGTTGCTGATCTTGTTGTGTTTATATGTGTGTAGCTGGTGGTGAACGAGGCCGCTGCTCAGTTGTGTTTGTGGGACGCGGGTCTGCTCACTCACAGAGACCAGCTCTTCTCTCTGGCCAGACACATCTCACGAGAGGTCACCTACAGACACGCCTTCAGGAACAGGTAGCACATACACAAAACTACATAGCTAGTTGGTATAGCATAGAAATGCCACTGCTGTCCATGCGGCAGCCTGGGGTTCGATTCCCAGCCCGTGCTATATCAACAACACCATGCTATATCGCCCCCTACATTTCCTGTAGTGTATTACAGTCTGTCAGAGTGACTGTGTGGATCATATGAACATTATAGAGGCTTTTTAAATGAAACAGTAGAAGCCATATCGCCCCCTACACTTCCTGTAGTGTATTACAGTCTGTCAGAGTGACTGTGTGGATCATATGAACATTATAGAGGCTTTTTAAATGAAACAGTAGAAGCCATATCGCCCCCTACACTTCCTGTAGTGTATTACAGTCTGTCAGAGTGACTGTGTGGATCATATGAACATTATAGAGGCTTTTTAAATGAAACAGTAGAAGCCATATCGCCCCCTACACTTCCTGTAGTGTATTACAGTCTGTCAGAGTGACTGTGTGGATCATATGAACATTATAGAGGCTTTTTAAATGAAACAGTAGAAGCCATATCGCCCCCTACACTTCCTGTAGTGTATTACAGTCTGTCAGAGTGACTGTGTGGATCATATGAACATTATAGAGTGCTTTTTAAATGAAACAGTAGAAGCCATATCGCCCCCTACACTTCCTGTAGTGTATTACAGTCTGTAGCCTTACTATATATTTGTTTTCACCTTCAAGCTTCTGAATTTAACCCAGTGACTCTGCTTTAGGCCTGGCCGAGAGGAAGAGGAGGAGCTGCTCTCACCCAAACGAATTAAGATTGAGGTGAGTAGTGCTGCCAAATGAAGTTTTCTGTCATATTTAATCTTAATATATAAAAATTGGCAAATATACTCAAAAAAATTCTGGCTTAAGTTGGCTACTACTACTGTTTTTACCTATATGATGACAAAATTGTAACATTTTTTTCGGAGCTATATCTTTATACCCTCTTTTACATTGTACAGCTTGCTAAAACACAATGCTGGTTAAATCGCCTCATCGGCTGTTTGTTTGGGTCCCTGTGGGGGTTTCACAGCTCCCACCAGCTCTTCTGAATCACAGCTCAGTGTGTGTATATGTGTGTTAATCTCAGGGGTGGTATTATTGATGCCACTCTCCCTCTGCTGTGCTGCTGGACGCTGTGCAGTATCAATAACATGCATAAAAACACAATGTCATTGTTACATTAGCAGAAAGTTTTATGTTTTATCTGATGCTGAATTCTTCCTAATATGTTTGTGTCAAATTCCTGAAAACAATGTAAAATTGGAGTATTCACTCGGCCTGAGTAATACTTAGCTTGATATTGTCCTATATTGCCATGATCTTTTAACAGATTTAATGAAAATCACATAATTTGAGCTCCTGCTGGTGTGGGTTCATGTTCTTTTCTCTCTCTCATTGCTGTTTAAATAGCTTGTACTAACAGCTCCCCCTTGTGGACAAACAAGAATGCTAAACTTGCATGAGTGAGTGAGTGAGTTCCAAAGCCAAGTCCACATGCTTCGCATCTAAAAAACGTGGTGCTTTCCGTTAACTGAGGCTCACTGGAATTAAGCCATAGTTGCCTGTGGAAAGTATTATATTTATGTCATTTTAGGACCCATCTGAATCATCGGTATGGAAAATGCTGAGAATTTTCCTCGGCCAGTCTGGGAAATCCCTAGAGACCCACCAGACAGTGGAAAATGTACTCTATTATAGACTAATTGCTCATTAACGTTCTGAAATAACCTCGTTTGAACTGTAAAAGGGAATAAAATATTATATGAACATATTATTTGATACTATTTAGCATCCTTGTACATGGAGCCCTCTGGAATTGAAGTTCTGGTTAAGTCAGTCAGCTTTGTAAACATTTAACAGTGCAACACAAAGCCCAGTTTCCAGTTGCCAAATGTAGTTAATTGGCCAAGACACTGGTTTTACATTGGAGCTAGGAGGCTAATGTAGCTGATAAGTAATGGAAGCTTATGCTTACTACAGTTAGCATGGTGCTAACTGCATACCTCATCACACACTCGCCTCAAACTGTGTGGAGTTGTTCAGTAACAGACTTGATTATGTAGTTATGACACTGTTTGAGTGTTATGACACTGTTTGAGTCACTGTTACCTTTCAACATGGACAAAAGTATGTTAGCACAGCCAAAAACAGTATTACCAGCCAACCAGGAGACTGAATTTCACCCTTTCTGTTGTCCATTGTTTGATTTTTTGCTGAGCTATCGCTTTAACTGGAGCTCGGGGAGGTTTGTTTGGGCAGAGGCGTGATTCAGCAGCTTCTGCGGCCTGGCAGTGGCGGTGATGATGATGATAGCGATGACTCAGTGTGGAATTACAGCTTTTTTAAACTGTGTAAATGCCAGAGACGTGAGTTAGCGCTCTGCAGAGACTCGACTCCTGCAGTGCTGTTTATAATGAGCGGTTTAGTTTCTCTCTCCAGTGCTTTAGCTGGGCTGTTTGAGGGTTACAGGGCTAAAACAATTAACATAAGACTTGAAGGACATTTATTCCCTCTGTCTTTCTCTCTGCAGGACGGTGTATGTGGCCTGCAGGAGTCTCTCTATCTCCTCCATATGCAGCAGGAGGCGCTGAGAGAGCGGTTAGCATGCGCTAAGTCTAAAGGAGAAGAGAGTATCATACAGGCTTTACAGGTGCAGCACCTTAAACCAAGTGTCCCTCGGTTTATATCACGATACCTACATTTAGAGTCGGTTATTCATTCAGTCTAATGAGAAACTGTAGAACAGACTCAGTTTATACCACAATACCTACATTTAGAGTCGGTTATTCATTCAACCTAATGAGAAACTGTAGAACAGACTCAGTTTATACCACAATACCTACATTTAGAGTCGGTTATTCATTCAACCTAATGAGAAACTGTAGAACAGACTCAGTTTATATCACAATACCTACATTTAGAGTCGGTTATTCATTCAACCTAATGAGAAACTGTAGAACAGACTCACTTTATACCACAATACCTACATTTAGAGTCGGTTATTCATTCAACCTAATGAGAAACTGTAGAACAGACTCAGTTTATATCACAATACCTACATTTAGAGTCGGTTATTCATTCAATCTAATGAGAAACTGTAGAACAGACTCAGTTTATATCACAATACCTACATTTAGAGTCGGTTATTCATTCAACCTAATGAGAAACTGTAGAACAGACTCAGTTTATATCACAATACCTACATTTAGAGTCGGTTATTCATTCAATCTAATGAGAAACTGTAGAACAGACTCAGTTTCTATCACAATACCTACATTTAGAGTCGGTTATTCATTCAATCTAATGAGAAACTGTAGAACAGACTCAGTTTCTATCACAATACCTACATTTAGAGTCTGTTATTCATTCAACCTAATGAGAAACTGTAGAACAGACTCAGTTTATATCCCAATACCTACATTTAGAGCCAGGATTTGTACCCATTTTCTGTGAAGTTTGTCCGATCTAGTGGCTACAAATGAACAGGTTTGTGGGCGGAGTCTGATTAGTGCAGTTATTTGGAGCTTGTTTATTGCCTTTGTGTATGAAACTGTATGATTATTTATGTATGTGTGACGGTCTTGAACTCATATTAACATTAAAGTGTGTGTGTGTGTGTGTGTGTGCCTGTCTGTGTGTGTGTGTGTGTGTGTGTGTGTGTGCGTGCCTGTCTGTGTGTGTGTGTGCGTGCCTGTGTGTGTGTGTGTGTGTGTGTGTGTGTGCGTGCCTGTCTGTGTGTGTGTGTGCGTGCCTGTGTGTGTGTGTGTGTGTGTGTGTGTGCGTGTGTGCGTGCCTGTCTGTGTGTGTGTGTGTGTGTCTGTGTGTGTGTGTGTGTGTGTGTGTGTGTGTGCGTGCCTGTCTGTGTGTGTGTGTGTGTGTGTGTGTGTGTCTGTGTGTGTGTGTGTGTGTGTGTGTGTGTGTATGTCTGTGTGTGTGCGTGCCTGTCTGTGTGTGTGTGTGTGTGTGTGTGTGTGTGTGTGTGCGTGCCTGTCTGTGTGTGTGTGTGTCTGTGTGTGTGTCTGTGTGTGTGTGTGTGTGTGTGTGTGTGTGTGCGTGCCTGTCTGTGTGTGTGTGTGTGTGTCTGTGTGTGTGTGTGTGTGTGTGTGTGTGTGTTGTGTGTGTGTGTGTGTGTGTGTGTGCGTGCCTGTCTGTGTGTGTGTGTGTGTGTGTGTGTGTGTGTGTGTATGTCTGTGTGTGTGTGTGTGCCTGTCCGTGTGTCTGTGTGTGTGTGTATGTGTGTAGGTGGAGTTGGACTCTGTGTTCTGCAGGCAGGTTGAGCTGTTGCAGGACGCTGCACTTCAGGAGCGGAGCGTCCACCCAACTGCCCTCAGATACAGCACTGACCCCAACGACCCCAACACTAACCACACTGCCCACCCAGCAGGTACAGTTTATACTGTATCTCTCTCTCTTACTCTCTCTCTCTGTCTCTCTCTCTTTCCCACTCTCTCTCTCTCTCTCTCTCTCCCTTCTTTTCCTTTTCTCTCTCTCTCTCTCTCTCTCTCTCTTTCTCTTCTTTTGTCTCTTTCTCTCTCTTGCTTCTTTTCCCTTTCTTGTTCTCTTCTCTCTCTTTCTCTCTCTCTTTCTTTTCTCTCTCTCTCTCTTCTTTTTCTTTTCTATCTCCTTTTCCCTTTCTCTTTCTCTCTCTGTCTCTCTCTCTCTCTCTCTTTCTCTCCTATTTTGCATTCTATCTCCCTCTCTCTTTCTCTATCCTTTTTCTTTTCGCTCTCTCTCACTCTTTTTGTTTCTCTCTTCTTTTCCCTTGCTTTCTCTCTCTCTCTCTCTCTCTTCTCTCTCTCTTCTCTCTCTCTCTCTCTGTCGTTTATGTTCTGCTGATTTACACTGAATGTGTGTTTGCGCTTGTTGTAGCGGAGCGACCTGTGAGCCTGTGCGTGACTGGCCGAAACACATCCAGTGGGGAGATCCCATTGGGTCGCCAGTTAGCCATTGAGCTGAAGCAGCATCACAAACATCGGCATAAACAGAGCATAGAAGAGCAGCATCATCGAGAGAGGAACTCAGAAATGGGACAAACTGAGACAACAGGTCAGTTATTTACACTCTCAGTCAATCAGGGTCAACTACTGGAGTCGGTTTCAGCAATTAAGCACTGCATAGTGCTTAAACCCAAACTACAAATCAAGATTTTAATTATTTCATCAGTCAATAACATTTTATTTTTGGTAAAACAAGAACAAACAGGCTACATATATACACAGTATGTGGACACCTGACCCTCACAGCTATATGAGCTGGTCAGACATCTGATTCCAAGACCAGGGGCATTATATGGAGATGCCCCGCTTTGCAGCTCATTTGTGTCCATTTAGTCTAAAGAGCATTTGTGAGGTCAGACACTGATGTTCTGGCTCACAGTCGATGTTCCAGTTCTTCCCAAAGGTGTTCAGTGGGGTTGAGGTCAGAGTTCCTCCACACCAAACTGGTCACTCCATGTCTTTATGGAGCTGCTTTGTGCACAGGGGCTCAGTCATGCTGGAACAGGAAAGGCTCTTCCCCAAACCGCTGACACAAAGCTGGAAGCAGATAACTGAAAAATGTCTTGGTGCTGTAGCATCAACATCACCCTTCACTGGAACTGAGGGGTCCCAACCCTGAAAAACAGCCCAGCCCATCATCCCTCCTCCACCAAACTCTACTGTTTATCCCTCCTCCACCAAACTGTACTGTTTATCCCTCCTCCACCAAACTCCACTGTTTATCCCTCCTCCACCAAACTCCACTGTTTATCCCTCCTCCTCCACCAACCTCTACTGTTTATCCCTCCTCCGCCAAACTCTACTGTTTATCCCTCCTCCACCAAACTCCACTGTTTATCCCTCCTCCGCCAAACTCCACTGTTTATCCCTCCTCCGCCAAACTCTACTGTTTATCCCTCCTCCGCCAAACTCCACTGTTTATCCCTCCTCCGCCAAACTCTACTGTTTATCCCTCCTCCGCCAAACTCCACTGTTTATCCCTCCTCCGCCAAACTCTACTGTTTATCCCTCCTCCGCCAAACTCCACTGTTTATCCCTCCTCCGCCAAACTGTACTGTTTATCCCTCCTCCGCCAAACTCTACTGTTTATCCCTCCTCCTCCACCAAACTCCACTGTTTATCCCTCCTCCTCCACCAACCTCTACTGTTTATCCCTCCTCCACCAAACTCTACTGTTTATCCCTCCTCCACCAAACTCCACTGTTTATCCCTCCTCCGCCAAACTCCACTGTTTATCCCTCCTCCACCAAACTCTACTGCTGGCATTCCGGTAGGTAACGATCTCCTGGAACAACCAAACCCATTCATCATCAAACTGACAGATAGTGAAGCGTGATTGATCAGACCAGAGAACATGTTTCCACTGCTCCAGAGTCCAGCGTGCTTCACACCCTTCCAGCTGACGCTTGGCACTGTGCATAGTGATCTTAGACTTATGTGCAGCTGCTCAGCCATGGGAACCCATTTTGTGAAGCTTCTAATGCACAGTTCTTGCACTGATGTTGCTTCCAGAGGCAGTTTGGAGCTCTGTAATAGTGATGCAACAGAAGACTGACACTTCAGCACTTCAGTTTGCGTGGTCTACCGCTTTGTGGCTGAGCTGTTGATGCTTCCGTTTCACAGTAATAGCTCTTACACTTGTCTGGGGCAAATCTAGCAGGGCTGAAATTTCCTAAGCTGACTGTGGCAAAGATGACATCCTATGACGGTGCCACGTTCAAGGTCACTGAGTTCTTCAGGTCGACCCATTCTACTGCCAATGTTTGTTTATGGAGACTGTGCTTGATTTTATACACCTATTAGCAATAGGTGTGGCTGAAACACCTGAACTCAAACAGTAGGAGGCGTGTCCACATACATTTTGGCCATGTAGTATATCTATGTGATTTACATTGGCCTTAAATGTTGGCAAAGCTGCAGTATATTGTACCTGTTTAGTTTGTAACTGTTGTTTTATATTCTGTCCACAGAAAACAGGACACCCCAGCAAAAGCTTTGCCCCCTGGACTACACAAAGATCAAGTCAGAACCAGAAGACTCCAGATAGCAGAACCTAGAAGAGCTAAATTCAGCGTCTCGTCCATCAGCCTGGACTGTTCTGCCTTAAAGAGATCAATGCTGGAAAAACGATCCGTCTCTGTTTCGGTTTGTAACATAGTTTTACAGTGAACGTAATGTTGTTAGCGTTAGCCAAACCTCATATTGGCGTAACAGGAGAAGGAAAAATATTCTTAACCTAATGTATATTAATAGTGATATTTTATTCCAGGTATTTTGGACCATTTTTGCTGGTTCATTCATCATTAAACATTCATACAGTGTATGTTCATGCAATGTAAAGGGGAACTGTTGTAAAAAAAATTCAAACCGAAATGATTTTGTTATGATAGTCTAGCTGGACTAGTTATGGGATATTCTGTGTTTGTGGCTGTACATTGTTGTATATTAGTGTGTTTGCACATTTGTGTCTTCATGTAACCTTTAGTAAAATGAGTGAACCTAGTAGAATTTCTATAGTGAAAGCCTATTGAAGAGTAGCCAGGATTGTGTTTAATCACAGTTTATTAGTACCTCTCAGTTGTGAGAACACAGTTACATAATATTCAATAAACACACCCTGGCCACTTTATCAGAAACCCTTCTTTTGTAGCTCCACCTCGCTGCTGGTGTACAGTTAGAGTGGCCAGTGTGTGGAAACACAAGGTGTGTTTCTAATAAAGTGGCCAGTTAGTGGAAGCACAAGGTGCGTTTCTAATAAAGTGGCCAGTGAGCAGAAATACAAGGTGGGTGTTTCTAATAAAGTGGCCAGTCAGTGGAACCACAAGTTGGTTGTTTATAATAAAGTGGCCAGTGAGTGGAAGCACAAGGTGGGTGTTTCTAATAAAGTGGCCAGTTAGTGAAAGCACAATTTCTAATAAAATACTTAGTCATGTTTTATGGACATTCATACAAGCAGGCAATATAACATTCGTTACCTCACTCAGGACGGTTGGAATCTGTAAGAAAATATGTAAACAATATTCACCCATTATTATTATTCTGTGTACAGTGCCGTGTAGGTTGTGAATATAATGTGACAATGTTGTGACCCATCATTACCGTGTTTAAACTCAAGGATGGATTTCGTTATTCTAGGGTTTGTTTGTTTTGTTTATTGCTGTCGTGTGGATCGTTAAGTAAAGCCCTTGTTTTGTAAACACTAATATAGTTTAATTTCTAAGAATAAACTCTATTTTTTAAATATGAAAATTCGCATTTTCAAGCTGTATTTCTTTTTGATGACTTCTGGACACAATCAGCAATTTTAAAGGGCCCATATCAATGAAATATCCCATATGCTGTAACACAAATTAATTATGTAAACATTTCAATACAAGCCATTCACTCCTCGGTCAGTCCATACAGTCTATGTGGAAACTAAGCTACAAAACAGCCTGTTTTGATTTCCTTGTTTTTGTGATGTCACAAAACCAAGATATTTCCACACATTCATCTATTCAGCCTACAGCATTTTAGCTCCGCCCATTTACACTGAAGTTATAAGGAGTGTTTCAGTGCAGACAGCTTTTTGAGCAAGGCAGCCAGTCAGGACAGAGCTCATTTACATATATCAGTATTAAAGGCATTTTGACCAGGTCAAGTTTCCAAATTGAAATGGGTTATTTTAAAGGTGCTGTGAGTGAGATTTAGTGGCATGTAGTGGTGATGTTGCAGATTGCAACCAACTGAACCCCCCTCACTCACCACTCCCTTTCCAAGCATGTAGTAGAACCTACATTGGCCATCATGATTTCTCTTCTCTGACAGCAAGGATTCACCCTCTCTCATTTTTTTGTGCTAAATAATAAATATGATCCTCTATTTGTCAAAATGTGGGTTCTGAAACTTCTAACAATACAAAACAGTCAGCAGCACCAGCGGAAACCACTGATTCTTCTTCTTTATACCCCAACCGGATCTACAGCACCACCAAATGCAAGATGCCATTTGAGCGTAAAAACACGAAAGAGCCAGTGTCTGGTTTGTCCGTTTTGGGCTAAAGTAGAAACATGGCGGTGGCAGCTTCTGTTGAAGAGGAGCTGCTCCCCATGGTTTTATAGATACTATATTCCATTTCTGCCAAAAGACCCTCCTAAATTTTACACGTTGCACCTTTAATGGTGAATATTATGTATTTTGAATTAAACTATGACAACCGTTTATTGTTTTTTCCTTTTATGAATATTTTTCTGCACATCAAAGTTCCATTGTAATACTTTTTATTTAATTTTTTAATACCTCATCTGTCAAATGCAGCATTTTCCAGAATTATTGGCACCCTCGGTAAGGATGAACAAGAAATGAAATGTCTTTATGCAAAAGTTTGGGCACCCTGCTCAAATTACGTTTTGTGATTTTCTGAGTGTAAATAAGTGAACACGTCCTCTACAGCCCTGCTGGGAAAGGACCATTAGAAACCATTAGGATTAACACCTAATGGTTTTGTTTTCTGATGGGAATTGGCTTAATGGTTTCCAATAGGGACCACTAGCCATTGGTCACTCGATTAACCATTAGGATCCTTTACACTGTGATATCAACCCATTAAAAAAGCCAAAGCACATTACAAAACCGTCAGGCACCAACAGAAACACTTAATGCTTTCTGTGGGTTTGGATCTGCACAACACACAGTTATTTGCTTCTTTATTGTTTATTTGAAGAATTTAACATAAAAAACATTCAAATTATGGGTCATTTTTTAGTTACTTTGTGTTTTGTTTTCTTTAATATGTTCAATAAATACAACTTGTGCACTAATATTTGCAGGAAAATGTCATATTTAAGTGCAAGAGGACATGTTTACTTATTTTCACTCAACAAAATGTGTGATTTGACCGGGGTGCACAAACTTATGCACATAACTGTTTGTATATAAAATGTGTGGGTTTTTTTCCCTCCAAAACACATGCATTGGAAAATAGAATATCTGTTTATTTATAGATTAATTTATTGTTTGTTTTCTTTTCACCTCAGTAGTTTTGCCTCAATGAAAGGTTCATAATTTCAGAGCTGGTTATGCTTATTTGCTCAGCAGGGGTGCCAATACTTCTGGACAGAAAGCAGCCTTCACCTTTGATGCAGCGTAGGTCTGTCAGTAAAGGCGTCCCAGAATACGCACTGCTCAGCACCCACAGAGCCCCCTGTGGGCGGAGCACTAACATCACCGCGGTAACCCTGCAGCGCGTGGGCGGGAATGCGTGTGTGGGACTCAACCACAGTGACACACCTGCGTCATCATCCCCATCATCACCGCCATCACTGCCATCATCACCGCCATCATCATCACCACAGGCCCAGCGCTAAACATACACAGTGTTAATGCACATGACAGCAGCCTGTAAAGGGGAATTCCACCAAAATTTGTGCACAGGTCAGTTTTCGAGATTTGGTTTGGTGTGAAATGGTTCAGATGTCTTTACAGTGGTGGTGATAGGAACCAGGGGTCACCATGACTACAACACAAATATAGACATTTTATTTACTATCCAGAACCACCAGTGAACCCACACGAGTCTTCTGAGTTTATATGGAATGTTGATGATGGAAAATAGTGGAAAATCTGGAATAATAAGTTTTATTGGGGACTATTTTGCCTCATAACACCCTGCATAGTATGTATCCCTCCACCATGAATGGAGTTTAAGGCCGAAATCTTCCCAAAACTATCATAAAACAGCGTCTCAGTCATCAGGCAGTGAATTCATAACCATTTCATGTAGGAACTTTCTGTGAGGGAGCTTTTAGAGGTGGACGTCTGGTTCCTATCACCACCACTGTGAACAGCTCCGTTTATAACTTAACCATTTATTTATGCAGAAACTTAGAAAAATCTCTTACCTCAAATATACACTGTTAAAAAACATGGTTCTTCAATCAGTGGTTCTGTTCAGAACCATGAGCATTTGCATGCCTAAATGGTTCTTGGCATGGTGAAATGGTTCTTCAGAATAATGGAGAATGAAGATGGGTTCTTCTGTTGTGATGATGTCAAGCTTGTAACAACAGAAGAACCCTTTTGTAGCTACACAGAACCATATACAACACATTCTCTATCAATCTGAAAAACCATGCAAAGAACCCTGTAAGCATGCGAATGGTTCTATCTAGAACCATGAGTTTTGCATAGAACCATTTCATGCTTAAAGGGTTCCTTGCATGTTCAAATGATTCTTCAGATTGATGGGAAGTGTGTTGTTTGTGGTTCTATATAGAATCATTTAGAAAAAGGTTCTATATCGCACCAAAAAGAGTTCTTCTATTGTGATGATGTCAAGCTTGTAACAATGGAAGAACCCTTTTTGGTGCTATACAGAACCATATGCAACACATTCTCTATCAATCAAAGAACCATTTCACCATGCAAAGCACTATTTAAGCGTGAAATGGTACTACACACGCTTAAAAAGATGGTTCTTCAAGAGTACTTTAGTGAAGACAATGGTTCTATATAGAACCATGAATGCTCAAAGAACATTTGCATGCTTAAAGGGTTCTTTGCAACAGTTCTTCAGATTGATGGAGAATGTGTTGTATATAGTTCTGTATAACACTAACGCCGTTTCCATTTCACCATGCAAAGAACCATGAAATGTTCTATATAGAACACATAGTTCTAAATAGAACCATTCCCTTTATGAAAGAACCCTTGGAGAACCATCTGTTTCAAGTGTGTAGGTAATCAGTTAAGACATGTTTGGTGTCTGAAGTGCTTCTTTAGTTGTAGCTCTGGAGCTACGAGGCTAATGCAGCT